AAAAAAAAAAAAATTCAAAAGAACAGGGAACAATCCAGTCGCAAATGTTTTTAGAATTAAAAAAAATGAATCTACGAAGGATCCACCTATCACCTGCTTGGGATGAAATGTTGAAAAGAGTGGAGGCAAATAGGAGGAGTACGTGCGTAAATAGGTGAAAGAGAAATAATTGTTATCTCATGGCCTTATTAATCTCTCCTACGAGCTGACAGCAATGAATCTGGCAACCATTGGCTTTCTTTACTAGCGACCAACCACCCTCCAGGAACATCATCAGCCTGGTGTACTTTGTGCTCCGAACTCAGATAACCTTTATTACTCGTCCCCTCACCGCTCGATGGAATAAAATCGCTTAACAGAAAGAGAGTCGACTCATTATCGTTTTACGAGGCGTCGCGTGAAGTTCTCGCCTTGGAGTCTCGTTACAGTCGTGCATTGGAGCTTGGACGCTCAACAGTCAGATAAAGTTGGAAGAGAGAAAAAATTGTGGTACAAAAACGAGCAACAGCAGCTGAGAAAAGCCCGCTAATCATAGAACCTGTGAAAATTCATTTCCTGAAACTGACAGCACACGAAGGAATGCAAAAGGACTGCCGAGATTGTCTGGGTATCCGGTACCGCATCAACTCGCTGGACCAGACCTGGAAGTGGTTGCACCAAACTATTGCCCTTCACGACTATCTTATTTCCATCACAGCCAGCCAATCGGACGTCTCCTCTTGTGACAGCTGTTAAAATTGGACAAAAGACTGACTTCATTGAAACCTCTCACGCATCTAACCTAACCTGACTTCTAACCTAATTCCTAATTCGAAGACTGAGGAAAGAAAAACGTATCGTCGGCATCACCTGTCTGTTCCTAATTCACTACACTGTCACGCCCTTCTTTTCTTAACATCTCCGTAACAATGGCGCTGATAAGAAACGTGCAAAAAGTGCCCACTTGCTGGTCTATTATCAATCGATTCGTTTCCAACGAACCAATATCCAAGGTACCGGACGACGCTATTCGCAAGTCTGTCTTCATATCCCAGTCAACTGATATCTACCGTAATTTGGCACTCGAGGACTGGTTCTACAAAAACTCTGATCTCAAGAATCACCACATTTTATTGCTTTGGAGAAATGATCCGTGCGTCGTTATTGGTCGCCATCAGAATCCTTGGCTGGAGGCGAACGTGACAGCAGCAGAAGCCAACTCCGTTGCTGTAGCCAGAAGAAATAGCGGCGGCGGTACTGTGTACCACGATGCTGGAAATTTGAATTTATCCTTTTTCACGCCAAAGGAAAGATACAACAGACGTTATAATCTGGATATAATTACGAGAGCTCTGTACCGCGAATGGGGACTGAAGGCACACGTTAATGAACGGGAGGATATTGTTGTCCATGGCAATTTTAAGGTATCTCATATAAATTCAACGTAACTCAGATAAGATTAGATTGCCGTTGCTATACGCAATGGAAATTAATTATACAAGCACCTTTGCCATTACAATTGGAAATTAGTGCAATGGATATTTTGTATTGTAAAAATGCCACGATGAGGAATTTTAATATCGTGTCTGATACGCTTATTGAATAGATATCCGGGACTGCTGCAAAACTGGGTCGTCCAAATGCATATCACCATTGTACTCTTTTGGTCGGAGTTAATAAATTTGCATTGAGTACGACTTTAGAAAAAAAGGAGGTAATTTCAAGTCTAGATTTGGTGACGTGATGAACGTTCCATTCTGATATTTGTAACGTTTCTTAATCTTATCGCTTACGAAAATATCTACTGATATCGCTGCGTTCTTAATTTTTCACAGAGCGGAATTGGATTCACGAACGCGACTGAATCGGTACGATCACCGATTAAAAATCTTACAGAGGTGAACTCCCATATCAGTACTGATAAATTATTGACTGCTGTTGGCTGGGAATATTTGCGTACTAAAGCATTGACGATTGAGGATGGAGGATATGGACTTATTCAATGTCAAAAAGGTTTTCAGATGATAAATCCAACCGAGGACTGGTTTCCAAGTAGGAACCTAAGATAATTATTATATTCAAGTTATATTCTTATTTACCATTTTTAAAATTAAACATATACGTTTAGAATTTTGAAATTCTATAATGCGATTGTTGTATGATTTCAGGCATTGATAAACTGACCGAAGAATTTCGTTCCTGGGATTGGACGTATGGAAGAACTCCGAAATTCTCTGTGGTGCGTATTCTTCAGATGCCATCGCGCTCAGGTGAAGTTCATCAACTGAATTTGACTTTGGAAGTCTGCAACGGCATTGTCCAACAAGTTAAGCTGAGTCTGCCTTCGGGACTCGTGCCAAAAGATTTTGATAAGGACGCGAGCGTCGTAACGAACCTACAAGGTACTCGTTATACACCAGAAGTAGCTGAACAGGTGGTTGCTGCTTTGGGCTGTAAGGCCATTATCCCAAAGCTCAATCAAAACGTCGACAAGAGTAACGTGGCAGCGAACCAATAAATGTTATGATGGCCACTCTGATCTTTTGTAAAACGAATAGTTTTTCAATTGACCGATAAAAGATGAGACGAACGTTTGTGTGTTCATAAATAACATTGACTTGTGTCAAGTATGATATTAACAATGTCGTAGAATAGAATTTAACAATCTTAAGTATAAATAATGATTGTTACACCAATGCAAAGTCAGTCTGGCTTATTTAATTCCTAATATAGTGCGTGTACTCTTTAGGACTAGAAATACTGTAATATAGTATAAGTATATTTAAAATGGCATAATCCTATGTAAAATGTACATATATGCCAAACGAATGATGTTGATAGAACATCACGTACATAGAATTTTAATTGTCTTTAAAATTAAAATAATTATAAAATGAAATAAGCCATCATCACAGTAAGAAGTATTAAAGTTTCCCCTATAAGAATAAGTGTTGCTTTCATTTCCGAAAGTCTCAAAATCGATATCATTCGAAAACTTAGAGATCATTATAAACGGCATAATGTAATTGACCATTTTTTCTCTTATATGTACAGTAATCAAAATCGTTGTGCCCGGATGTTGGCTATGTTGCTTCTGGAAATAGTGGCGGTTGATGCACTCGGATATAAACTCGAATGCAACATCACTTCTCTATAAGGTGGTGGCGGAGTTCCGGGACACGAAGGAGTGTCAGTTCCATGTTGCCAATTTTCCAGCAACGATACTCGTTGCGATATCTCATCATGGGTTTCTCTACCATGACGCCTTCGTATATTCGGCAAAGTACATAAAATTGATCTTGAAATTGACGCACACGTGTAAGTCAAAACCATACTAATTATCGAACCAATCAAAAGTCCAGATACGAATATCCAATATGGAGATATCTTTTTGAGTCTCGTAGTCAACATGTCGGGTGGATCAGTTACTGTCTCCTCGTTTGAATCGGGACACTCGATTCGGCTCGGAGAATCGGTTATCCAGAAATAAGAATCGTTATAATTATTAATATCATCGGGTTTATCTTGATTTTGAACAATGGAAATCATCTTCTCAAATTTTCGTGGTTGTATATATTTCTGACAAACGTCATCCAATGCAATTTGACGTATCTTCGTATATGCCTGCAAATCCTGCATGAGTTTATCGCAGACCCAAGGATTACTGAAAGGACGTAAAGTACACATGCACTGTTACAATTCTGTAAACTTTAAATATCATTAGTATGCCTGAAATACGTTTTTTTTCAGTAATTGATAGAAATAACTCACCCATGTAAGGTTAAATTTCGCAAAAATATCAATGGCTTCAAGATTCGAATGTCCAAGTGTATTATTAGATTTTTTGAAAGATCCAGGCTACGTAGACCACGAAGGCCGCTGAAAGTTCTTAGGGGAATATGACCAATTTGACATTTGCTCATGCTCAGGTTCTAGAATAGAAAAACATTTCATCGAACAATCGAAACGTCATTCAATTTATTCGCGGAGTGATCTACTTTGTTTATTCATTTCTTTCTCACAATTTACTATGTAAAGACTTCCCATGCTTATATTGCGAAGACATATAGACATAGACAAATGGATTAATCCATTTGATAATTGACTTTCTTTTCATTTCCCATAAGTTACACGATGTACGTTCATTCGTTTCTCTTGCCATTATTTTTCTAACCGCTGAAAGGCAACGTAATCATACCACCGGTTTATGGAAAGAGACATTCAGTCCCTCAAGAAATTCCATCGAGTCAAGTTCGTGTTAAGTTAATAATCAATCAAAAAATGCAAAAAATAAGAAACGACCGACATAAATATATTAAATAATAACAATGTCTCCGGTGACACTAATTGCAAGTGCAATTCTGTGCGAATTAATTGTGGCGTCAGGCACGATGTTGAATATTCATGAAACCAAAATTCCAAAAATATCTGCACTGCATCAAAAGGCTCTTGAAATTTTGAAAGTGACTAGTAAGAACTCTCTCAAGACCGTCCAAGTTATGTCCATGGATTCGTCAGCTTCTGAATTTCCTTTGGCCGCACTAACCTCACTGACGTTAGGTCAGCCAGTGTCGATTGTCCTAACTCGCAATATTACCGACAGAGTCGATCTTTCCATCGTCCAAGTGACGTTTCGCCGTGATCACGTGGTTAACGCAATTTCGTCATTGACTCCCTTTATCAATGAAAATGAAAAGGTGATAATACTCGTTAGGGTCAATAGCACGATTAAGGAAACAATGATAGAATCTTGGTTGGACACGACTTTTTCAGTTTTATGGGTAGCTCTCATTCGTGACGTTGCTATCGTAGTAGAAATCAAAGACTCAAATGCCTCGAGCGCCAGAAAAAAGTTAAGAACACCAGAGACTCTTGAAAACAAAATACGAGACAGTGATTACAAGAATTTTACAGGAAATGCTGAAAATTTGGATGGTCCCTGGAAAGTCGAAGTAAATGATAATGGATCGACAGAAGTATCGTGGCAGGACTCTACATCTGAAGAACATAATTCCACTATACTGGTATACAGTTACCAACCGTACATGACGAAGGCTCTGCAAAAAATCCCTAAACCAAAACTGAAGACCCTGTTCGATGTAAAAGTGGAGAACATGGCTGGTCAAGATTTACGTGTTGGGGGTCGCGTCATGGATTTGATTTTTTATGACGATGACGAAGAATATGACTCTCCCTCGAGAAGTTTGTCCCCGTTGATTGGTATTTTGGCTGAGAAACTTAATGCCACCATAAAGCATCTGTACACACAGAATTCTGACACCATAATCCGCAATGGCACTTTAAACACACTGTATCGTCACTTGATGAACGGTGAGCTGGACTTGACCGTGTCAGCCGCATTTATGTATCCTGAATTGAGTGGCATGTTCAGTATGACCTATCCAAGAAAAAGAGTTGATCTGCGTTTCGTTCTGCCTAGATACTTGTACGAAGATGTGACATACAGGAACGTGTTGGGTGGGAAAGTTAGTAAATTTCTCCTGCTGATGATCATCACCTTAATCATGACCCTGACCTTCATCCTGACTACAAAAAAGATCCTGCGACTCCAGATAGAGGTGGACTTTTTGACCAGTCTGATAAAGACCATCTTCAATCAGAGTACGGAATTGTCTTACACTGCAAAGTCGACCACCCTGAGGGTCGCCTTGGGCTCCTGGATACTATACACGAGTCTATTCTCTCTGCGCTTGCAGACTATGGTCACCTCTAGAATCATAAAGCCTTACGGTCAACAGACCATTGACACTTTGGCAGATTTGCGTGACAGTGACATCAGGATTGTCATAAGGGAAGATCATTTGGAATACGTAATGACTCATGCCGAGGAAGAAATAAGAAATATTGTCTCGGAGAAATCTCTGAAGACTAGTAATCGCACGATTTTCGCAACACCTGATTCTCGCTTGGGTTACATGTTGCCTAACCAGTTGGCGTATTACGCAATGTCAATGTCGTTCCGTGACTTTAAGGGTCGATCGATTTTCAAAATTCTTCGCGAAGCAATGTTACCAAATTTCGAAACGTACTACCTACGAAAAGGTTCGCCCTTTCTTCGGCAATTCGACAAAATTCTCTCTAGCCTCGCCGAGTTTGGGATTTTGCGCTATTGGGACGACAACAGCGATTACAGAATGTTACTTAAGGTCGTCATACCCAAAAGTTCAAAAGATATCTGCTCCAGATGTGTGAAGCTGGGCAATTTAAAGTCAGTCTTTTTTTTCTTAACGATAGGATTAGTCACAGCGTTAATTGCATTCATTTATGAAGTTGCCACTGGCACTAGTTCTAACTCCAGGCGTGGCAACTGTTTTTTATTCTAATATCGAACGAATCCGACCTATCAAATCGGAATCCCTTCACCAATTAATAAATTGGGAGACTCACCGGAGCTGG